AAAATGTGCCAAACACAACCTCCTCATCACCAGCACAGTCTTCCACCAACCAAACCACAACAAGATGTCTTGGCTGCATCTGCACTCCAAGCACTGGCATCTCCTTGATAACATCTTTATCAGAAGACAAGACAGATGGGATGTCAGAGTGGCAAAGGCCATGAGAAGTGCAGAATGCTGGACTTACCACAAGCTCATAGTCTCCAAGCTGAATATCTGGATACTAGGGCTGTGCAAAATTTCATCTGCTGTTTCATTTCGAAGCTGTTTCAATGCATTTCGAGCTTGAAACAGCAAAATTGAAATGAAACAAAAGCCTTTGAAACAGCTTCAAAACAAAACTGGGGCACTTGAAACATTTTGAAAGTTTCAAAATGTTTCGACTTTCAAAGCCGGGCTTACTTGGCTTCAGCACTGGTCCCAGGCAGCAGCAGCAGCAGCCCCCTGTCATCCGGAGTTGATCCAGAGGCCGCACCCCCTGGGAGGATTCTGGCACAGCCCCCAGCCCTCCTGGGGGTGCAGGCCCTTGGATCTGCTTGCCAGATGACAGCATGCTGTTGCTGCCAGCTGGGGCCAGCAGAAGCACCAATCTTCCCAGTGCAGGAATTGGGCTGCGCCCAGCGCTGGTCCCAGCTGGCGGCAGCAGCCTCCTGTCATCCAGCAGGCAGATCTGGGGCCTGCCCACACCCCCTGCCACCAATTGGAAGGGCGGGGGTGTCCTCCTGCAGCTGATCCTGCCAACCAGGGGGTGCAGTCCCCCTGCAGCTCTTCTTACTGCCCAAGGAAACCCTCAGGACGGCTGGTCGCTGCAACTGATCGCTGCAGCTGCTTCGGGAATGGCTGCGGCCACTTTTGGGAGTGGCTGCAGTGATTGGCCAGTGCTTGCAGGGGGAGCACCAGTGCTCCCACCTGCCCCCCCTGCCCATTGCCTAAACGGCGAGTGCAGCCAGTCAAGGGGTACACCCTGTCAGGGGGTGCACATGCACCCCTACGCCCCCCACCATGTGTTGCCACTGGATGAAATCATAAGTGAGATAGGCAGACCATGTTACCAGAATGTCAGATGAGCGACTGCCAAAGAAGACCTTTTACGGTGAGCTAAGGCCAAAAGAAACACTTCAAGGAGTCCATCAAGTTATCCTTGAAAGATTTCAACATTGACCTGAAGTCTTGGGAAGGTCTTGTTCATGATTTTTCCAGCTGGTGAAGCCTCATCCATACTGGAGCTACTGTCTATCAGTGGAGAAGAACTGGTGAGGCAGCACACAAACAGCTAAGGAGCACAAGCAGCATAAATCTCACAACAGTAACATGCCCACTGTTGATCAAGCAACCCAAAGTGGCATTTCTTCCTCAGTGTGCCATAGACAGTTCAAAGCACAAATTGGCCTGATCAACCATTCACATGTTCACCGAAACTAAACCAACCAGTAACATCATGGTCATCTTTGAATTCGAAGGATGAACAGCAATATCAAAAGAGATTTGATATATACAGTCACCTGTTTAGCTGCTGAATCTTCCAGGCATACTCTTAGGGAAGTGAGAATAATAGTCTATAATGGTGGTTTTCAACCTTTTTTCATTTGCTGACCCCTTTGGAAATTTTGAATGGAGGTGCAGATCCCTTTGAATTGTAAGTGTGGGTATTCACATTCTTTTGATTGATTATAGTCATCTTTCATGGACCCCTTAGACATAGTCTTAATACCCACACAGGTCCTCAGACCGCAAGTTGAAAACCACTGCTCTGTGACAAGCATATTATTCAATTTCAGCCAGTATAAGCAAATTGGTGCTTGCTTTGCTCCAAGGGCTATTTTTTCCTTCAACTAATATAGGTTCTTCTGCCTGCCTTGGCCTGTATTTTTGGAATATGAAACAAATATTAAATGACTTAATGTTCAGTGAAGACATTAAATGTATCTAGTCCTTGTCTGAGATTTTTCAATACCTAAATGACAAATATCCTTCAAATATATTTCTCTCTCACATCATAGGAATCATCCCCTTGGTTCCCTTAACAAAATCCCATTTCGTACTGAGAGCTCGCCCCTTAAATTGATTCATGGGGCCTGGGATTATACTGGCCTGGCCACCCTGAAATAATGGCTGTAATTACTTTCTTCAGGGTCTCATTCTCAGCAGAAGTTCTGGCAATCACAGTTTTTACCAGATCAATGCATACAAAATCTAGCTCCAGCCTTTGTTCCCTTGTACTTCAGTCAAACCTCTAGGGAATATATCTGTAATCATCAGATCTACACATTGGGTGAACTGATAGGTCTGACAGCCACAGTAAGTGTGAACTTGTTTCAAGTATATTTACTGTATTTCAGCCTGATACATAATATTCTACAGTAAATGCCTTCATCATATAGGTAACAAAGAGCAAAAGATGATTAACTGCAGGCTAGATATTGCACCTTGCTCAGGTCCTGGTAGAACTGCTTGATGACAGAGATTTTTTATATTCGTTGTACATACCTATGGTTCCATGTTCTGGATCAATTTCCCATGTTCTAAATAAATCTTGGTTCTTTGAACAGGAGCCTGGATACTAGTGGGAGAGTGTGGGGTTGTCTGTCAAATGTCAAAATGCCTTCCAGAGATTAATTCATAGAAATCATAGAAAACTAAGTTTGGACAGGACTTCAGGAGGTCATCTAGTCCAACCCCTGCTCAAAGCTGGACCATCTGCACCTATATAATCCCAGCCAAGGCTTTGTCTACCTGGGCCTTAAAAACCTTCAGGGATGGAGATTCCACAACCTTTTGTTGTGTGGGGGAGGAAGTAGAGGAGTAGACAGAAAAATAATTATAGTAGACATGGGGACTTGCAATGTAAGATTGTACTCCTTAAATTTAGATATGATAAACAGCTTCCTTAAGCCGCGTAACAAGAGAGGAAGAGATTGCTTCATGGTCTTTAGCTCTGGCTAGATGAAATATTGTAACTATGAATTTTTATTTTGTATTTTCAGAAAAATGGCATATCAAATGGAAGTTTCTACAAACAGCCATTTACTGAACACTTTGAACAAGCACCAATGTATGTTGCTGTTTTTACTTATGTGGGTTTCACCGTGGGAACAATATTTGGCTACCTGAAGGATTTTCTGAGAGCCTGTGGAATACAAAAATGTCCCTTTGCTATAGAAAGAGAAGAACAAAAAGTACGTATGAGAAGGTGTATTTTAGCAGGCATATCACACGTGCTTTCCTTTGGTATATCACGCTTTCCAAATTATATGTGATGGATTCATATTTCATTACTCTGCTACCTTTGCACAGAATGATACTGTATGGAGGTTTTAGATAAAATTCCTGCCTACCTAGGTTGACAATGCAGAAGATTCCACTGGGAATCCTATTTCCTGAGCTGGTAATGTTCATTCAAGTTGCTCTGGTAAATTCTCAGTCTGAGTTCTGCTTTAAATGCATCTGCATCAGCATTGGATAGACAAGTCCATGTAGCCTGAATGGTCTCAAGCAACTGTACAATATTAATTCATGCCTGACTGCTTGGGACACAGAAATGCCCTGTTTCCATATTCACCTGTCCTTACATGTTTCCATACCCTTGTAGGTAGAAAAGCCTACCATCCCAGCAAAGATCTGAAAGGATAAAAATCAAATCAAATCATGTTACTGAAATCCCTGATCCCTACCTCTCTGGTGTTCTCTTTGGTAACAGATATGCCTGCCTAATACTTATGAACCCAAGTAACCTGTGGCTGAATGTGTCAATGTATTATCAGCCAAGATAAATCTTTGCATTCTGATCCATCTCTCAGAAAAATAAAAGAAAACCATATATGCCTTATTTTTTCAAACCCACACAGATTTCTTATTCATCTCTCCTTTAAAACACACACACACTCCCCTACTTCCATGTGCAGAGCTGATGACTCATTGATTGCTGATGTCCTTTGCACATGGTTAACTGCTTGACAAGGGTGACCTTACTTGGTTCTGCTTTCTATTTGGGAGTAACATGCATCCTGGGTCCTGTCTCCTCTCCTGTCTGCCACAATTTTACCTGTAGCATCACTGTTGCAGTGATTAAACTATCCCTTTCCTCTTCCAGAAACTATCACTCTTCAAACACCAGCATTGCTCCATGTGATTACACTGAACCATGCTGTGATTGGCAAAATTCTTGCCTACTATGCAGCTTCTGCTGGACCTGCTTCTAATGATCTGAGCAACTTTCATCTATGTGCTTGAATGTGCATAACATTGCAAGTAGATTTCATTCTCCAGCTGTCCCCACCACAAAAGTAAAGGCAAAAGACTAGCTGTGTACATTCTTGGACTGGTGGTGGCAGCTTTAACTTTACAAACCTTGTAACTGATCAGGGCTACAAATAAGTGAAGGATATTGATGTTCCAGTGAGACACCCTAAAGTTACATCTTGTCCTGGTAGACCCCAGATATTATCCCCTACAACAATGGCATCATATACAGAAGCATCATTTTATATTGTTTAAACAAAATTCTGAAAGTGACTAGTTGAGTAATTTTCTCTTCTTCCTGGGTCAACGGTTTGACTCTTGATTTACCAAACCACCTGGAATTACAGGAGGAAAGAAAGGGGAAAAAAATTCTGTATTCTAAAATAGATTTTCTGCCTTTCTTTTCTCTATGTGTTTTGAAAGCAACACGTGCAACACAATACTGTAGTATGGCACACTATAAAGCAGTAGCATAAGTAGGGCAGGACAAGGGGGGAAGCACTAGTCCCAGGCACTGACTATGAGGGGGTGCCAGAATCCCCCCCATGAGTTTTTACCACAGCAACCATAGCCCTGCGCTACCCTGCCCAGCTGTAGGAACCAGGCAATGCAGCTGGTAACAGTAGGTAAGTGGGGCAAATGGATTGGTGTTCCCCCACCCCACAATGGGGAGGTTGCCAGAGCATGCACAACCCTGCACCCAATATGTATGTGTCAGGGAA